CGCGCATCCTCTCTTAATTACAATGGATAAGCATAAAACATCTAAATTTATGGATTTAGAGACACATAGGCAGTATCCTCGCAACAAGACGTATTAAACTTCAATGTAAATAACAAGGCTGCGATATGATTGCCTGGCAAAGAGCCGTTGTCTATTGATATATCTTAAATCGATTGCTAGTGCAGCTCCCCCTCAACAAACAAAATTAGGTGAAAATTGTCCTACAAGCATTGAATAAACGAAACCTCTTTTACTGCTGTTTACAGAAAAATGAAAGATATTTTTCAGACAAGTTCTCCTCATGTAGCTCTAACTTTTTAACCGTATGCAAGGTTTCAACCACGTCACTTTTAATCCTGTAACGTAAAATAAAAAAAAAACGGCGACAGCACTAGCGCACACCTAAATTACCAGTCATTAAGTGCGCAAGATTCACCAGCCACTGTTGCCACCCAACGACTCAAAAGTGCGTCCGCCTAGAAATCTCAAATGGCACATTTGGTCAACCACAACCTTTCATATGAAGATTTAAGGAAAAAAAAATCAGAAAAAGTGGCTGAGCGCCAAAAGAGGTGAACATTTCCATTCGAAAACCTGAAAGCAAAAATAGCACCTGAAAAGCTTCCAAGGCACTGCACCCATAAACATAGGGCAATTTCATACCAAATAGTGCATTTTTTTCAGTTGATATCTCGGAATTTTTTAATATTCTTCTAATTAATAAAGTCTAAGTCAGTATCCAGAAAGATGAAGGGAGTACCTGGAAAAGTGAATTCTGCACCAAATCGCAACTCGTCAAATTTGCGAAATTCGCGCGGTTGCCGCTTTACGTGTCTATTTTGCAGACTTATAATTTAGCCCCTCCCAAATAGTATTCAATGAATTCTAATTCAGTGTACATATGCTTTTAAAAGCATATTAAATAGTATGGTTCTGCTATGAAATTTTGTAGATGTAAAAAAGACTGCAAACAAATATTGAAAAACTCATTTTTAAATTTTTTTAAAAAATATTCGTGTATGAGTTCTGTGTTCTGTAACATATATCAGAATTCGGTGATGGCTTTTTTTTCTAGTCGAGAATTATGAGCCGGAAGGGAATTTGAAATTAAAAGAAAGCCGATGTTTCTACGATGATCTCATACATTTTCCAGTGGCAAAACTGTACTGAGCCGCTTCTAAAAGTTGCAAGGGGCGGGTATAAAAATCCGGTATGCTGTAAAAGTTGAAGACTTTTTTACGAAAGTTGTACTTTGTTATAATAATATTAACAGTTTATTATTCTGCAGAACTGTAAAAAGTAGCCTTTACTCGAGTCTTTTCTGCTTCTCGTTTTTACTTATTTTGTTGAAATACACAGCTTGTATATATTTTGGCGCCGCGAAGAAGTCTAAAAAACTACAGCTTTACCTAGTTGGCTGCTGGATTAAGGTTATTCCTGGAGTTTTTATTTTTTGCCAGTCTGGAGAACCACGGCACATAAACTAAAGAAGGGACAATAAGTTGAGCTCATGTTCGTTTGTGTGACCGAATCTTTAACGAGTGCAGTACAGGCACAATTCCAAAGGCTTTGAAACCTTTCCCTTCTCCGATTCCTCAAACGAAAATAAAAATTCGTGTGTTCCACGCATTCTTTGCCCACAAAACCCGCAGTGCCATAAGGTGTGCTTCACATCGAGTATCACTGATGGATCTGTTTTTTTTTTTTTTTCTTGAGTTAAACGGGCCTTTACCTTTTTCTTGTCCTCTCATTAAACCACAACATACACGGAGCAAAAAACAGTAGATTATGGGATGCTTTCTGCAGTTCTGCAGAATGAAAATTTGTTATAGTTTTGAAGTAATGTGCAACCTTTGTAATAAATCTTCAGTGATTGAAACATACCGGATTTTATAGCTGTCTCCTTCAGCTTTCAGAAGCGGCTAAAGACGGTTTTATAAAATGCATGAGATTACTGTGAGAACAGCGGTTTTTTTAATTTTAAATTCTCTCCTAGTTCGTAATTCCCGATGCAAAAAACCGCTACCAACGAATTTTGATATGTTATAGAACACAAAATTTTCACATAAAATGTCTTTTTTAAAAAAATCAAAGATGAGTTTTTTCAATATTTGTTTGAGATCTTCTTTCTCCTGTTTCTATGAGGTTTCATGGCATAATCAAATTATTTAATACAAATCTTGAAGCACAGATCATGAGGACTAAAAGTCATTAGATTTTGTTGAGGAGGGGCTGGAATACAAGTCTGGAAAGTGGGCACGTCAAGCGGCAACCAGGCAAGTTTTTGCAACTTTGACGAGTTGTGACTTGGTGCGGACTTCACTTTTTCAGGTTCTCTCTTCAATTTTTTGAATACTGGCCTAGACCTTATTAAGCAGCAAAACACAAAAGAAATTCTGGGATATCGAGTAAAGAAACTGTGGGATGGCTCCTTATAGTCACAGGCAAACGTGAAATCTAGGAACAGTACATGATGCGGTTTAGGGGAACAAAGCTCATAAAATAAGGCTGTGGGACTTATTGAAGCAAAAGTTTTTGCCTTAATACTGTTAAAGGATTTAACGCGGACAGCTATCCGGCAATGGCGACAAATGTATTTGCTGAAGAATAACTCCACATTTCATTTTGTGCTATTTTTGCGGTGCCGTAGTT